GGTGCGCACCACCACACCCAGTCTCAATTGCCATCTCAGCACCTTGGGGACGGGGCCTGCACAGCAGGCCCCAGATGGAACCCCGAGCCCCTCTGCCTGCTTGCAAGTGCTTTAATCCTCTAAGCCACTCGGCCGGCCCTCTCAAGACGTACATACCTTTCGCTAACACCTTGAGAGACAGATTTTGTGAGGGGAGCACCAGCATCCGTGAAGAGCTCTGTCATTGCTCTTCTCTCCATGCCAGACCATATGGTGGGGACTGCAGTTACTCAATTGGGAAATTGAAGGGCAATGGGCTTGATTGGATCTCAGAGTGTCAGAGGTCAAGTGGCAGCACTTACTTGTCAAAGGCAGAGTCCCCATCCTTGCCATAATGGACAGCAGAAGAACAATGACCAGAACAATCTGACACATGTAAACCTATGGCATTGTCAGTCTTGTAATTTCTTATCCATCTGTACATCTTGTGTTATAGCTTTTTCTCTAGTAAAACCCTGACTGATACATAGCCTTTTGTTGTAGTTTATATCTAGATGTCCCCCGAAAGCCTCATGCATTCATAGGTGGGGCTTTGTGGCGGTGATTGGATCATGGGGTGTGATATGCATCAGTGGATTCGCCCACTGATGAGCTTAGAGCTAAACATGGTGGTGGGAGGTGAAGTCTTATAGGAGAAGTTGTGGCCTGGATGGGTTTAATCTCACTCCTCCCTTGATTTCTATTTGCTTTCTGCCTATAAGGTCATAAACTGTTTCTGCTCTGTCATAGCCCTCTGACATTCTGCTCTGCCTTGGAACCAGTGGACTGTGGACAGAAACCTCTCCTAACTGTGAGTCAAAATAAGCTTCTCTTCGTTTAACATGTAGATGTTGGAAATTCTGCCCCAGCAATGAGAAAGTACCTAGGACGAGCTTATTTCAAACAGAAACCTCCTGAGCCTGACTCGTAAAGTACCCATTTCTATTCACATTGCTTTCTTCTGAGCTCTGACCAGTTTTGCGCATCAAGAACTACTCATAACATTTTAGGGCTTCTCTAGCCTGGATCTCCAAACCTTGCCATATTCCTCCTGAAAACCACTTCCAAAGCTTTTTGACCAACTAGTCAAGTTCAGTAATACCAATGGCCCTACTCCTGATCGCAATTTTCTATATTAGTGACTTTTCTGTCAGTGGGACAATATACCAAACATGTTTATTTTGGCTCAGCAAACTTAGTATATTCAATCCGTTGTCATCCTGGTAAATGACAAAAAGGTACAGCATAATGAAATGACAGAGGAAAGCTGTCATGTTGTGAGAGCTAAGAAGCAAAGAAATAAGGGAGAGCAGTGGACACTTCAGTGCCTACACCTGCAATAGAGCTCAGGTAAGAATTCACCCTTCACATGTACTCTAGTGACCTTCCTCTACTAAAAGTCCCCTCCTGTAATTGAAAGACAATTAAGGGTCCTTTTCAATGTAAACCATAAGAATATCTCTCTGAGGCGAGAGATATAGCTCAGTGGTGTAAGTGCCTACCTGGCAAGTACAAGGTCCAGACTTTGATCCCCGGTACTGAAAAAAAAAAAAAAAGAATATCTCTCTCTAGGAAGAAACTAAAATTGAGAGAGCTATTTTATAGACTTAAATCATGTGATACTGACATCTAACACATTTGAAGTCTAGATGGCAGGCCATTGGTTGGAAATTCACGCAGCATTTATTTCTCCCAATGATTTTCATTTTAGCTTTACTCAACGTGCAGAAATTATACACAGTAATGAGGTTAGGTTTGATAAACCACAACATGAAGACGGTACACACTAATGAATCTAGTTCTGCATTATCCAGTCTCCCCATACTCCCTCCCCCATCTCTAGCAAATCCTATTGTTTATTCAAATTGATGGTTTCTTAAGCTGAAGATGACTACCCAGATCTGTGTCTCCAGTGAGTCCTGGAACACCCATTGCCTCAACTGTTACAATGAGGTTCGGGCTTCCTGGATCGTAGGAGGTGGATGCATAGTGTCAAGGGAGTGGATCAAGTGCATAGAGGAAGGTAGGTCCTACTCTCCCAGGAGCCAGGAGACTGAGCCTCTCATCAGGACTGAGGGGACCTTGAAAATTCTGTTCTGCTCCTGCTGTGAATCCTGGGAGGCCCCAGGGACACTTCTAGGTACGACGTCCACCAACTTCCATTTGGGTCAGAGCTGCTGTGGTTCATTTCTGAGGCATAGGTTTCTGGTGAGGGGAATTGTGTGAGTGGGCATGTGTAGGAATCAGAATGTCAGGGTATGGGGAAGTGAGGAAACTCAGCACTCAGACAGGGTCCCCCCAGATGCAGTCTACCTCTGTAGTGAGAGCCTTGCACCCTGAGAAAGAATTCTCACAGGGGACC